CCCCCGCCCCCCCCCCCTTTCCCCTCACGACCCCCCGTTTCCCCACCTGCTCCGCGTCCCTCTCGCTGACGGTGGGCAGGGGGCTGCGGCCGCTGCTCGACATGGCGCTCCCCCCCCGCCGCCGCCGCCGACTATCGCGATAGGAGGAAGCGCTGCGCGTGCGTCCAGAGCCCTGGCCTCGCTCAGGGGGCGGGGGGGGGCCAAACCGGCGGCATGGGGGGAGCGGGGAGGGGACGGGAGAGGAGGAGGAAGGGAAGAGGGGAACGGGGCCGCCTCACGCCCGCGCTTCCTCAGCGCCCAGCGGCTCCCAACATGGCGGCCGCCGCCGGCCCTCGGCCATTTCCGCCGCCGCGCCGGAAACATCCGACACGCCTCCCCGCGACTCTTCGGCTTTTTCCGGATAGATTCGGCTGCGCCTCCACTTCGCGCGTTCGGGTGTTTCCGGGGAATCTCCGCCTCTATCGGCTTCGGGAGATGACGGAAAGAGCCGAAGCGGCGTTCGGTAATTTCCGTCACTTAGCTTCGACCTGGAGCGAAGCCGGAAATACCCGAACACCTCAACCACGACATCGGCCGTTTCCGTTCACGGACGGAAACAGCCGAGAAGAGCCGAACCCCTCCCCATCCTCACAGCGATAAGGAGGGGAGGGGCTAGAGAGGGGAAAGCCCCCCTTCGGTGGGCGTGGCCTCCCCGCAGGTCACGCCCTTTTGGTCCAAAGGGGCGGGGCTCGCTCAGGGCACGGGGGGGGGGGGGGGGTGTTTTTGGGCCCCCCAGGGGGCGTGCCCGGGGGTTGGGGGGGGGGGGCTGCGTGGGGGAGGCGCGGCACCCCCCAAAACCTGTAAAGCTTTTTTATTCTTAAAGGAGAGGGAGCGGAGATGAGACTCCTCCTCAACTCATCCTCCCCCCCACCCCCCCGTAGTCCCCATCCTCCGGTGGTAGGGGGGAGAAATGGAAGCAGGGGGGGAGAGCGGAAAGGCGCACGGCCCCTTTAAATTTACCCAGGAGCCCTTCGAGGAGCCCCAGGGGCCCCACGACCGCGTCCCCACCCCGGCCGGCCCCTGCCCGCCGCCATGGAACCCCCGCGGCCGCTCCCGCACCCGGAGCCCGCAGGTGAGCGCCGACGCTACGGGGGGAGGCGCGGGGAACGCGGCCCCTTTAAGGACTCCCCCAAGGAACGGGAGCGGGGTTTCCCCCGGGCGCACAATGGGAGCGGCGTTGGCCCTTTAAGACGCCCCCCCCCCCCAGGTTTGGGAGAACCCCCACTGCTTTGCCAGCCCCCGTCCTGCACCGGGATGCCCCCCGGCCCTTCAAGATGCTCCTCCATCCCGTTAAGGTGCCTGCACCCGATTTGGGATGTCCCCGTGACTTTTAAGGTGTCGCTGTCCCTTTAAGGTGCCCCTGCCCATTTAAGGCGACCCCCCTCCCCTCCACCGCCCTCATCCCCCTTCGAAATGCTTTCTGCCCCTTTAAGGGCCCCGCCCCTTTCACGCAGCCCCGCCTCTTTAAGTCTGGCGCCCCTTTAACACCAGCCCTGACCCTATAAGAACCTCTTGGCCCTTTTAAGACGCCGCGGTGCCTTCGGGCCCCAAAGGCTTTTGACATCCCTGGCCCCTTTAAGAGCCCTCTGCTGCTTCGATTCCTCCCAAAGGCTGCCATCAGGGAGCCTCCCCCCGGTGCCCAGGCGCCCTCGAATCATTGGCTCCCATCCACGAGCTCCCCTGAGATCCTTTTCTACATTTCCCCAAAAGCCTCCGTCGCCGCAGACCCCCAAAGCAACCCAAATCCAAAGACCCCCCCCCCCCC